AAAACTTTCAGCATTCTCTGCCCTTTCTTAGTCCTTTTTGACTTTCCTTTTTCCCTCCAAAGCCTTTTTCAGTATGTTTCTTGTCCATCTGATTCTGTTCTGATCTCTCTTTCTCTCCTAGGAGTTGTGATTGGTGAATACTATGAGTCCTTGATTCCCTGGATATTAAGAGATGAACCCAATTTTGAGAGGGACACTGAGCAACCTGCCTGTCTTCATATGCATAGAAATGGCTTCACCCCTGGCCATGATTCTCTCTAATTTTGTTTCTGGCATTGTTCCATGGGTTGCTGGCTTTCGGTCTGTGCTCAGTGGTGGGGAGCCCTGTCATATTTGGTGAAAATTGAAGTGTTTCCCTAAGGCCTTTGCATGCCTGGGACTGAGGTGTGTGTTCTTGCTGTGTCAGTGGGTCAGTGCACACGTGTGGATTGACCTGAGGCAAAAATGCACATAGAATTGTGCCTTTCCACCCTCGGGTAAACAGATGAAAGTTTTACCAAGTTGAAAGTAGAATACAAGCCAGGACTTGAGCTGCCTGTTACATTAATTTGACTAGTTTTAAAATCAAATCTGAAAAACTAACTTTCTTAAAAAGTAAACATTTATTTGATAAGTTCACTTTTAACTCAGTGACTAGGAGATGCATAAACAAAGCTAGAAGCAGTGAATGCATCTAGATTCCTGGGTGGTTCCTTCTCTGTTCTTGGGTAGGCCACGTCATAAGGGTGTGTTCATGCAGAGTGCATGGTCCAGGGTTCATAGCCCTGGGGTGGGGGTGGAGTAAGAGGCCCTACTCCAAATTCATCTCTGTCTCTTGGGGGACATCCCACAGGCCTTGTCCCTTCTCCCACTCTTGTCCCCCACCCCACACCCCAGTGAATGATTAGTGATCATCCCATTGTGCTGCAGGGAACCAGCGAAGGCCCGGGAGGTATCATGGGGTGGGGGCTGCCAAGAGGCAGGCATCCCAGTCCCTGGCCCACAGTTTGGAAGAGCCTCACATATCGTGAGCAATATTTTGTTTAAATAAATAAAGAAATTCACTGATTTACAAAAATCAAACAAAACCAGGAAACAAAAACAAAACACCAATGCCCTAAATGTCTATCATCCAGACCTTTTCTATGATTTGGCAATCAGTTCTACTCAATATTTGCCACAGTGTATATAGCACTTTATCAATGAAAGTTTGCACTAGAATGAAGATTCAGGCTTGAGAGATGTGCATGTTAAAGAAGTTTTCTGTGTTAATATGTACATGTATCCACCTGCTGTCCTGCTGCTGCTACTGTTGGTCCACAGTCGCCAAGGTCTGCTGAGCACTAGTGGTGTGTTGGGATCGTGAGCCTGGTGTATCATGTACACTCATGTCATTTCGTTCTCCCAATAGCCCTTTAAGGCAGGTCCTACTAAACACCACCATTTAACCCATGAGAAGCATTCACAGGAAATGCCACCTCCCCAAACTCACATACCAAGTGGTGGAGGCAAGCTTGGAACTCAGACATTCTGGCCCCGGAGCCCTGCCCTTGTCCAACATAAGGCATTGTGTATTGTTGGTTGTGCTGAGTAGGTTTTCCTGTGTGTATCCAGGGATTTCATCTCCGGAGGAGTCCTTCTATGTAGATAAGATTCCATCCAGCATTGTCTATCCATGGTGCAGGTGCCCCCTGCTGTACCTGACGGGTCCTCTGTGTCTTGGCAAGCTTTTGAAGCAGAGCTTCCACTTGAAAGAGAGCTGAATTTAGCAAAGCAGCCTTACTTCACAGAGGACATGGAAGCCTTTTGTTGTGAGCACATGCAGAATCCAAAACACTTGAAATTCTTGACCAATAATCAATATTAGAAATGGGCCAAGCTAGTGATAGTGGGTGGTGGAACCTTCCTGTTAAGGAATGTTAGAACCTGTGGCAGGGTGGGAAGAACCTGGCACTGTGTCTGTCCTTGTTAATACAGCACCTGGTGGCTGTCTGCTTCATCCTTGTGAAATGGCATTTATAAAGTTGCTATAGGCAGATGGTGCTTTGCTGGGTACAGTATAAAATGCATGAAGCCAATTTGTGCCTCACCCTCTGGATGTGCACAAACTAGATGAGACACTTTGAGAGACTGAGCAAACAGCCTTGCAAATACTTGTTATTAAATGTCACAATAAATATTTTTTTGTTTTTTTCAAAGGAACTGCAAAGTAATTGAAGCAGAGCATTTGAAATCAGAATGAAATTTTTTTTTTTAAATGTTCTTTCCTAAAGTTGCATCTGAAAGCAGATAATTGGAATCTTGTTGGCAGTAGAGGAGACGGTAACATCTGATAAGAACAACGGTAGCATGAGTAATTCTGGAGTGGAGATATGGGGTGAAAGTTGCTTTATCATTTTGACTGTGAAGTACGGAGATTTGTGGTGAAGCTTGAGTCGGTGGTTTCACAAAACCAGCTTTGGGGGTGGAAGACCAGCACCAAATCTGAGCAGTGCCAGTCTGGGCAAGTGGCTGCACATTTTTCTGCCTCTGTGAAAGGAGATAATGGTAGACCTCCTTCGTCAGGTTGTCATGAGGATTTAATGTGTCAATAGAGTTGAGCACCTACCGACGTGATTGGCATGTACAGAATATTCACATTTTATAGATTAGGAAACTTGAACTCATTTGCAATGACTTGACTCTGACCCATGCACCGAAGTTGACACACTGGCCCAGCATTCTTTCAGGCATTTTCCATCATGAAATAGCTACAGAAATATATCCAGGTAGTGTATGTTTCATTAGTTAAAAAATTAAGGTATAATTTATACACAGTAAAATTCGCTCTTTCTTATTGGACGGTTCTGCCAGCTTAGACAAAGGCGCAATACCGTGGAAGAGTCCCCCAGCCACCAACAGTCCTCCACCCTCACTGTGGATAACCCTTCCCCACCTCCACCCCTGGCAACCGTAGATATGTTCTCCATCCCTATGATTTTGCCTTTTCCAGGATGTTGTAAAAATGGAATCATACCGTATGCAGCCCTTTGAAAGTCTGTCTTGTTTTATTCATCACAGTGCATTTGAAATGCTTCTGCGTCGAGTGTAACAGTGGTTTGTTCTTCTCTTACCGAGTAGTGTTCCATTGTGTGGATTCACCTCCTGAGGGACATTTGGGTTGTTTCTAGCGTCTAGAGATTGCAAATAAAGCTGCTACACAGTTTTATTTGTAATAAAAAGTTCATCTACAGGGTTTTTGTGAATGTTAAGTTTTCACTTCACTTGGAGAGATACCCAGGAGTACACTTGCTGGGCCCTGTGGATCGTGCATGTCTGATTATAAGAAATTGCCAAACTCTCTTCCAAAGTTGCTCCACTGTTTTTGCTTTCAGACCAGCAGCGTGTGCAAACAGCACGTGGTTAGGGTTTTTAGTTAGTTTTTTGTTTTTTAAGCAATTCTAATAGATGTTAGTGGCATCTCATTGTTGTTTTCATTTACATTTTGCTAATGAGTAATTGTGTTGAGTGCCTTCCTGAGCCCTTATTTTCCACCTGTATGTCTTTGGAGATGTGTCTCTTCGAATCTTGTGCACCTGATTTTCGATTTTCGAGAAGGGGAAGATTGTTTCCTTATTGAGTTTTAGGAATTCTTTGCATATCGTGGATGCAAGTCTTTATCAGATCGTTCTCTGCAGTCTTGTGTTTTTGTTACTCGAACAGCACCTTTCAAATAGCAGAAGTTCTTTATTTTGTGAAATACAGTTTATTGATTTTTTAAATAGATTTTGCTTTTGGTATGATACCTAAGAAATTTTTCCTCCAAAAGTTTTATAGTTTTTAAAGTTTTACATTTAAGATTTATGATCCATTTAAAGTTAAGTTTTGCCTAGTGTGCAACGTATGGCATGAAGTTTATTTGTTTGTTGGTGGTGGGGTACTGTGTACTTTTGTTACAAATGCATTGACCCCATATGTGCAGGGTTATTTTTTAAAAGTGGGCTTCTGCCTTCCTGCTTTTGGAGAATAGCACTAACAATTATCTATGCAATATGTGTGATATTTCCAGTGCTCAAAATGTTGTTGTATTTTCTTTTCAATTTGATTTTGAGCCTTAATACAATCCCTAAGAATATCTGTCATGAATGTTCTTTTCCCCATTTCATTCAGGGAGGTAGAGGCCAGCCTGGTACAAGCAATTCACTTAGAGACACAAAAGTGGCAGATCCAGGATCAGAACACTTAAACTCCAGAAACTCTTCCAAACAGGATGTAGCCAGAGGGATCGAGTCTCTGGCTTCCTCCAATTGAATTTAATTCTAGCTTAGTTCCGTGCTAGCTCTGTGACCAGGGACAAAGTAATTAATGTTTCCATTGTCAGTTTCCTCTCCTTCCAACACAGCTAACTGTCTGTAGGACCTCTGCAAGAATTAAAGATGAAATATACAGGGGTCTTAACACTATGTGTAGATGTAATAGGATCTGTCATTATTACCATTACTCTATTTTTTGAGGATGTTGGTTTTCTAGAAGATACAGAATATGTATATAGGAGATGACATTCCTAAAGAACAAAACAATTTATAATTAAAGGATGCACAGATATACAGGAAAGCATTTTTGGCTTGGAACAAAGACAGTTCACTTTCATTAATGAATGTGGAAGAGCTGAAGTGGATTTAGTGGAAGAGGATTCTTCTGAGGGGACAGGTCTTCATTTTGCTTTAACCCTCGCAAAGCTTCATGTAGCTTCATAGAGCTTAGCACACATTATAGTCACTTGGTCAGCAGGTGTCAAACATTGGCTTGTGTTAATACTCCTTTTATTGTGATGTGTCGAGACAATCACGTAAGAAATTACAGTTCCGTGTGGATCATAGATTTTATTTCTTTGCTCTATTTTCGCTGTGGTTAGCCATTCGCCCTCATCTGGGAATGATTTTTCTCTTCTTGGTGTTTCTGCTGTTCTTCATAGGAATTATAAATTTGAATTAACGTTTGCCAGTGGGTTTGGTTCAGCCTTCTTTGTTCTTGGTTTGCAGGGGGCCGCACTGAAATACTTGCCAACGATCGTCAACGATGTGAAATTGGTGTTTGATCCCAAAGAGCTCAGGTAATGGAGCCCCCGGGGTGAATGCTTGCCCCGTGCCACGTGTGACCTAATTCTGAGAGCATTTAGTTCGTGGAATGCTCGGGGTTCTGTCCTGTTCTGCGTGTGTCAGTGCCCTGGGCCATTTTGGAACATGTGGTGGTTTCTGTGACTTTTTGCTAATTATGACTTCATGTGGAAAAGGCATTGCCAGTCCACAGTCACTATATTTTTTTTAGAAGACTGTTTATAGCCTTATGGGTATATAATACATATTTGGCATTTTGCATATGTTAGTGGTTGAATTTCAATAGGTGGTTTGTTGGGTTTTTTGTTTGTTTTGAGCACCTAAAAAACTTAAGATAGGAGCTATAATATTTGTGTGTCACCTTCCCCTTCTATGACAGGGACAGCTTCTCTTTGTGTGCTCTTAAATGAGGGACTGTGAGCCTCAGGCAGAAGAATCTGAAGTTGTCATCTAAGAAAATAATTTAAAAAAACACACCAAAAAGCAAATTGTGAGGAAGCTGGTCCCTTGACTTTCAGAGCGAGGGGCAGGGATGGGGACCACCCCTCGGCGTCCAAGCCTAATCTTTGTTGCCTGCTTTGCAGAGTCCCTGCCCTCTGACAAGTGCCGTTGTGTGTGATGGGATGCACAGCCTTCAACCCCAGACGTCTAATAGCACAATCCTCATCTGCTTTCTGTTTTGGTTCTAATTTGACACAATAAACTACCTGTAGGTGATGGCACCGTGTTTACCAGCCAGTGTAGCCCTCCTGAATATTACTAAAGGGCCATCTGTCCCTGGGAAGTTAAACTAAATAACAAGCGACCATTCTTCCTGAACTTTATGTCCACCATAGGTCACTCATGCCCTGCAATAGAAGGACAAGGGGCTCTTGGGGAGGTGCTGTCCTGCATGAATCCTTGTGTCTCTGATGCGCCCCAGGATTTAGTGTCCTGAAGGGATGCATTTATTTTCTGCTCCTGAGGCACTGACAATGCTGGTTATAGCTTAGCTGGCCCTAAAGGAGAAGAGGAGAGAATGGATTCATGGGCAGTGCGACTGCCCACCTCTCTGTCGAGTCCTCTCCTTGGAGCACGATTCTCAAAGAGTAGTCCCCAGACCTTCTAAATTGGGAGTCGTGGGGTGGGGCCCAGCCATTTGGTTTTAATGAACCTCCAGGTATTTCCAATGCACACTCAGGTCTGAGCAGTTCATGTCTGTAGTAACTGGGAGGGAGGGACCTGTGGCTGGCGTGGGCCGAGGCAATACACTGGGCCTGTCCACCTCATTGTGTGCAGGTGGCAGCCCTCACCTGTGGGAGCAGTGTTGTCAATGTCACGGTTGGGCTTGGAGACCCAAAGACCTGCTTCTCCAGGGCCAGCCCAGTCCTCAGGCTCTCTTTTCTCAGAGTGGGCATGTGTCCCTCTTCAGTGCCTTTTATGCTGATTTAAAAATGATATTGCAAATCATTTGTGTATTTTTCCTATTTAGAATTTTGATGTATGTTTTAATAAAACAAAAGAGATGACAGAAGAGAATAACTCAAACTTAAGGCTACTGCCCTAACATAACCAGATAGTTCTGGGTCACTTACACATACATACACATCCACACACACCTAAAAAAGTCAACTTTATTTTCCTGGTGGTCTTATTTTCCTATGTCATGAAGCTGTCTTCTGCTTAGTAATTTTTGTAATAACTTTCATGCTGGTTCCATTCTGTGCTGGCCCATGTTTAAGCAGCAACAATAGACACAACATCTATTATGTGTTTTCTGCGTGCAAAATAGGCTTTGCACAAAGCATTCGTATTGGTCCATTAATCTTTACAACAATGGCATGACACAGGTTCTGTTGTTAGCCTAATTTTTCCCTAAATATCTTGTTCATGATAACTCAGCTGGTGAGTGGCAGTGGTTCAAGGCCAACCCAGGCTTTTTGGTTACAAAGAACAGGCCTCTAACCACTCTGCTACCTGATGGGTGTTGGGTTGTGTCCAGTTTTTTGTTATTGTAAAATATGGTAGCGTAAAATGTTCTGTAACTTAATGGTAGTATCTGTCCTTATTTTATATCATTAGGATAAACAGAGAAGTAGAATTACTTGATCTTGCATTTTCTTAAAAGATTTTCAATGGATATTATCCAGTTGTCCTCCAGAAAGTCAAACCAACATTCTCCCAGTGCGTACCATTGTCTGTTTTCCCAAACTTCGCCAATACTGGGAATTATTATCTTATAGAACCTTGCCGATAGGACAGGAGGACAGTATCTCACCATTTTAATTTGCATTTCCTTGGTTGCTAACAAGATCTCTCTTCTAACATTCCTGTATAGGTCTATTGGCCATTTGTAAAAGTAAATTTTCTAAATAGCTTTATTGAGATATTACATGCCACAAAGTCACCTGTTGTAAAGTGTTCAACTTGATGGTTTTTAGTATATTTACAGAGCTGTGTGACCATCACCAGAGTCCAATTTTAGAACATTTTATGATCCCAGTGAGATTCCCTCTACCCCTTTCCAGGCATTGTCCTTTCCTACCCCCAGCCCTAGACAATCACTGATCTATTTTCTGTATCCATAGATTTATCTTTTCTGGGCATTTCTTATAAATGGGATTGTAAAATTTGTGGCCTTTTGTGACTGGCTTCTTTCACTTAGCATCATATTTCTAAGGTTTATCCATGTTGTAGCAAGTATCCATGCTTCCTTTTTTTGGATGAATTGTATGGATATGCTATACTTTGTTTATCTTTTCATCAGGTAATGGATATTTGGATTATATTGACTTTTTGAGTATTATGAACAATGCCACTCTGATTCATGTACAAGTTTTTGTGCAGATGTATATTTTCATTTTTCCTGGGTATTTTCCCCAGGAGTGGAATTTCTGGGTTATATGGTGACTGTGCTTAACATTTTGAGGAAATGCCACAGTGTTTTCCACAGTGGCTATACCGTGTCACCTTCCCACCAGCATGGTATAAGGGTTTCAACTTCCTTATATCCTCACCAGCACTTGTTAATGTCTGTGTTTGGGTTGTATCTATTTTAGTGGTTATAAAGTGCAAAATAACACTTTAAAACATCATTTTTAAAAATGAGATATTGATCCATGGGAAGGGTCTTTGTCCAACATGCTGGTGGCATTTAACGACCTTATGTCTTAGTGACATCTTGGATCATTTTGCTGTGTATCTCTAAATTATTTCACTTGTGTTTTTCCTCGTAGCAAAATGTTCACCGATTTCATTCTCAATGTTCCCGTGGGTTTGCTGACCATTCAGAAGCTCTACTGCCTGATCGAAATTGTTCACAGTGATCTCTTCACACAGCACGGTGAGTGGAACCCCGAGAATTATTAAATTGTCCTTTTATTTATTGTCTGCAGACTTTGACCCCTCTGAATTCTCTCCTTGTTGCCAAAAGGAGTGGAGGTTGCAACCAATTAAAACAGCTCCATTACAAGACAGGAAGATTTAGCCCTTACACGAGAAGGGTAATTGACACACAGTGCAAGTAATAGATCATTGAGAAATGAAGGCAGAAAGCGTGTGGCTTGTAATTTAGGTGTACACCAAAGCCCTGAGATAATCAGCATACATTGTAGCCTTAAAATGTGTGATTGTCTATCCTAGGGAGGCAGTCACTTGCTTCCATTGAGATGATTGCAAAGAAAAAAAAATTGAAGCTTTCTTTAAATCTGAAAGTAATAGTTCTGTCTTATTCTGAACTTTGCATTCTTTGACAGGGTTTCTTTAAACCTGGCTCACAGTAATAAGAATTTTCACGATTCCTCAACTCATTCATCCTAAGAAACACCTTATATTCCCACAAGTTATCTCCCCGCCCTTTTTATTAATCATTTTCTTTATATTTGGACAGATTGAATTAATATTTTACACCTGTCAGGCAGTTTTATTGAAAGCTTAAAACCTCTGCATAATTCCGCAACCCTCCTCATTTATTTGAGGCAAATGTGAAGTCTGCTGAGTGACATTCTGACTGGGAGGCATAGATTTATTCCATTCCATTTGTGTCCAGACATGTGGCTGTTCCATTCATTTTCTTTTGTTCTCGTGCGTGGTGTTGTTTGCAATTCCACTGAGCTGTTTCAAGGATGGAACCACCCAGGCTTGGGGTGTCCCTGTTGAGTTATTGACTGGACGGGGAACTCGCCGTGTGTCTGGCTTAGTCCTTTGTGCCTTTTGGGCTGCTGAACCCTGTGTTCACCTGCTGGGTTTAATGCTATTTCTTGATTTGACTTTATAAAATGCACTGGAGTATACACTTGTTGCTAAGGCTTACGTTAAGAGGAAATGCAAAAACTTCATTTGAGTAGGAGCGTTCTTTTGGAGAGAAAACATCAAGCCAGGAAGTGGGTAGCTTTTTGCAGACCTCTGTCTGAGTCAGAAGCCTATTTTCCCACATTCCTAAATGAAAGTCAGTTTTCACTGTCGTCTGGGACTCAAAGCACTTGAATCTCTGTTGAGCCGTTAATCCCGACTGTCTGCATTTCAGGCTCTCACTGGAGAGCTGGATCTTGAATTGCCCACTCTCCAGGTATCTTCCAAAGCTTGGGGACACGAAAGGGCTTCAGGAAGGGCAGATGATAGAGGTGTTGGGTGGGGACCCTGCTTCAGTGTCTCCTCCCATATTGTCGAGACTTTTTAGCAGAGCAAGGAAAATCCCTAAAAGTTTTATATCAATATCTGGGTCTCCTTAGGGAGGTTGCTGATGTATCCTGTGCCAAGACACACACACACACCTAGACAGGCCCTGTCACCACCACTACCATCATCAGTATCTTCACCGGGTTAACAACTGTCCTTGAGTGTCAGTTGTCAATGAATAACAATTGTCAGTGGATTGTGCTCCAGTGTGGACAGAAGGAAGGAGGAGGACATATGTACGTATATTTCAAAATTTCTATTGCAAAACTTTTTATGCCGTTTAGCTCCCTTTGAATAAGGACTTAAACCAAAAAGGTTCTATTAAAAATATTTGAAACAGGCCGGGCGCGGTGGCTCACGCCTGTAATCCTAGCACTCTGGGAGACCGAGGCGGGCGGATCGTTTGAGCTCAGGA